TGTTGAAGCCTTAAAAAATTGTCACAACAAAGATATTTTTATCCTTTCGGATAGCAAGGCGGCCATTTTCTCCTTGAAACGATACGTATCAACATCACGGCTGGTCGGTGATTGTCATGAAGCACTTAACAAACTAGCTGAAACGAACCGCGTTACCCTCCTGTGGATCCCTGGTCACAGTGGATTCGGGGGAAACGATAGGGCGGATGAGCTAGCCAAAGAAGGAATATGAAACCCCGATACACATCTTGTGTCACTGCCCTGCACTTGTGAAGGAGCGGGAACACATTACGGGCTACTTCTTTCTGGGGGAGACCGTTATTGCTACCAGAAACCTGTCCGAAGTCCTCCTGTTGTGGAAAGGACTTCGGATATAGGGGTGGTTATGGGGAACGTAAAGGGATTACCCAAGCGTTAGTGGCGTTGACTTGCAAGGTCCTAAGTCCACAACCCTCTTCTTAATAATAAATAATAATAATAATAATGTATGTTTGTATGTGTGTATGTATGTATGTATGTATGTCCGCAAAATTTTGTTCGCGTATAACTTGAAAACGTTTTGACCGATTGAAGTAAAATTTGGCAATCTTTTAGTTATTGGTGTGACTTAAAATATTTAATGAAAAAATATTGAGATGAACAAAAGTTATAAATTTTTCAAAAAATTAAAAAAAATTTTTTTTTATTTTTGCAGATTGGTATAAATTTTTTAATTTATTAATAATATAAATGATTTTAAAGATATATAACAATAATTTGAATTAAAAAATAATATTAATATGAAAAAAAAATTATGAATTTTCCAAAAAATTCGAAATTTTTTTTTTCATTTTGCCAGATTGCTGTAAATTAATCAGTTATGACTTTTGTAAAATATATATAAACAATAAATTTACAGATTTTAAACTTATTAGTTAGAATGGGAGGTATTCAATTTTTTCAAAAAATTAAAAAAATGGAAAATTTCCAAATTTTATATTTTTTAATGTATATCTTTTAAACTTTTTGTAATTAAATATTGCATGTTATTTAGTCATATTTTAGCATAACTTTGAAAAAAACTGTCCTATAACTATAAGATGGAAGTATGTATAAAAATGTTTTTAATATCAAAAAATTAAAAAATTATAATTGAGAGACCAATTACTATCAAGCTTAATTCAGTAGTATTTTTGGGGTCTCTGATAAACTTTTGACGTCAAAATAATAGAATTTAGAATTATTTGTTTATTTAGGGGAAGTGCGCCGGTTGTGGGCACCCTCCGGTTGTGGGCACCCCTACGTAAACTTCGACGGCAAGCAGACTTTACTGATCTAAGTATTGCAAGTCGTGTTCGTTGACAATACGGACTTTTCGTATTGATAACGAAACAAATATATGCATTTGTGTAATAGCTGTGAGCATAATAAAGAAAATTTGCATTAAATAAATAAAAAAGTAATTTTGTATTGTTTTCGAAGAGCAACATATGGGTGTAGATTCGTTCAGAAAAGAAGGGTTTCTTTTTTTTTCTTTATTTGTGTTGGTTTCCTTTAATATTTTTCCATTTTTAGCGGATTTTTCAAGGGTGCCCACAACCGGGTACAAAATTTTTTTTGTCAAAAAATTCCCATTTCACTAAATTTCTAATAAAACTTTTTTATTTAAAGGAATCAATTTAATTCCTTCACTGACAGTCACCTTAGACCTCTAGCTTTAAATTCGTACACATATATTTGTATAATATGCACATGGACAAATGTTATGAGGCAAAAACAAAAGGGTGCCCACAACCGGAACACTTCCCTTAATTAATAAAAAAATTTTCAATTGCAAAAACTTCGAAAATATTAAAAATGGAGATTTTTTATGATAAAATTGATACTGCAGGAATTCAAGAATACCTGTGATACGATACTTGCATTATGATACTGGGAAAAACTTAGATAGTAAAAAGTTATGTTATTTTAATTCTAGATTTAACTTTTAGGGATGTTTTGAGCATTGTAAAGGCAAAAGTTAAACAGGGTGTCTATTATTATTTTTGTTTAACAAACTATCCGGTTTTCCCAGCTTTGTCCAAATTTTTTCAGGTGTACCTATTCTCATTAAATATAAATCGTGATAAGTATTAACAATAAATAAAACTACAAATGGCTACAAAAATTCACTTATTTTATGAAAATACTCTTCGACGGGTTTTTGTTTTTACTAATACTTTTAACAGGGGTTCTACCAACTGGAAAAACGGAAAATATGCAGGAATTTAATTTAATTGGGAAAAACTGTGAATTCAGCCTGCAATATAGGTCTTATTTTAGATTTTAGCAAAAACTGGTGGAAATTTTCGATTAACTTATAATACAATAATTAAATTTCTACAAATAATTGACAAACATTGTTCTCTGCATTTTAATTAATTAAAAACAAATTATTTGATGATAAAAAGTCAATCACTGATTTAAAATATGTAGTTATATTTTTCTAATGAAAAAGTTAATGGTAGCTAATTATTATTTTTTCCGGTCAAATTAAATTCCCCTCTATTTTCCATTTTTCGAGACTGGTAGACACACTATTGAATGTATTTGTAGAAACTAAAACCTGTCGAAGACGGGTACGACAGCTAGTATTTAATATTATCTGGGAATCATTCCCTCATATTCCCTGGAATATTCCATTAATATTACGGTGGAACATTTCCTCAACATCATCCTGGAATATTACTTCGATATTACCGTGGAACATTTTCTAAATGTTATCTTGGAATATTCCTTTGCGGCGGACATTTTAATATTACTTTAAGATCTCTGGAACATTCACTGGAATATTCCGAATATGAAATATTACTATATTCATATTCTTAATATTATTATATTATATTCCGAATATTCCCTTCAATTTAAGGTTACATTCCGTGCTACTTGGGTACTTTGTAATTTGATAGTGTTTAGGGTCCTAAATAAGTGTGCCAAAAAGTTTTACAAAATTTTTAATATTTTGCAAGATATTTGCAAGGGAGCGTTCATAAATGATGTCACGTTTTTTGGGGGAGGGTGGAGAGTCTCTACTAAACGTGACACAATGTTACATTCTTACGCACGTCACCGTCACCAATATTGTAACAATATTGTTACGACAAATTTGTCTAGACTTTGGGTTTTTGCAAATCTAGACAATATAGTTGTATAATAATATAAATTTTTCTTTCTAAACCAGAGTTTGAACATTTACAAAATTAAAACCTTATAGTGGTTAGAAAATGTAAAAAATCATTAATATTTATAAAAATATAAATTATTTCATTTAAAATCATTGTAATAAGAATGAAGTGAACATTTTAAAAAATTGTCATTGTACATTATACGAAATGTTATTTTTACGTATTCTCTTACTAAATCTTTCATTTTCGCCTGCTATCCTGGATTCGCCATTTTGTATTTTTAAAAAGTGACTTTGGATTCATAATCAGTGGAATTTTACTGAAAATCAGTTGAAAAGTACTAAAATATCAGTCATTCTTCACTAATTGTTATTTTATTGTGTTTTATTTATTATTGTAAATTTCTGTCAAACAAATAATCTTACTAGAAATCAGTTGAAAATTACACTTACAGAAATATAAGTCATTTTTCACTGATTATCCATTTAAAAAATTATTGTTGATTTATGTCAAACAAATAAATAAGTAAGTACACAAGTAAATAAATAAGTTCTCTTACAAAGCAGACAGCATTAGCGAGTGAGGTATTTACGTATATTTAAAAAAATTTTAACAGACATTCCTGACATTGATAGAACACTACTGCACATGCCAGACATTGATAGAACACAACTGCGCATGCGTAACATTTATAGAATACTACTGCGCATGCCTGACATTGATATAGCACTACTGCGCATGCGTAACATTGATAGAATGCTACTGCGCATGTCTGACATTGATATAGCACTACTGCGCATGACTGATACTGATATAACATTACTGCGCATGTCTGATATTCATAGAACACTACTGCGCATGCCTGATATTCATAGAACACTACTGCGCATGCCAGACATTGATAGAACACAACTGCGCATGCGTAACATTTATAGAATACTACTGCGCATGCCGGACATTGATATAGCACTACTGCGCATGCGTAACATTGATAGAATACTACTTAGCAGAATTGGTGATGCAACATATTGAAGAGGAGATTTTAAATGACAAATCCTTGGATGTCATTTTCTATTTCAGATATGTTGATGATACCATTGTTTGTGTCAGGGAGGGACATATTCGGAGACTGGTAGATGCTTTTAACGAGAAGGGTGGTTCCTTAAAATTTACAGTAGAGTATTCAAAAAATAAAGAAATAAATTTTTTAGACTTAAAATTGATTTTTAAAAAAGGTTTTATTGAGACAAATTGGTACCAAAAACCATATTCCTCGGGTAGATATTTAAATTTTTGGTCCAACCATCATATTAATATTAAAAAGGGAATCATATTTTCTTTGGTGGATAAAACTATTTTACTATCTGAACCACATTTCCATGCTGAAAATTAAAATTTTATTTTTGAAAAATTAAAACAAAACAACTACCCTTATAATTTCATAAAAAAGAATATCGATCAAAGAATACAATTTTTGACTTTGAAAAATAATAATAATAACGTTATAAATTTTGACAGAAAATTGATCGAACCTTCACGCACTATAGTAATTCCATATGTGCCTGATATTCTCAAACCAACCATAAACCTATGTAAAAAATTAAATATCTCAATAGTCTTTTCAACCCTTATGAAACTTCATAACAATTTACTTCCATCCCCTAAGGACAGAATTCCAAAATTCGAGAAGACCAACGTTATATATAAATTAAGTTGTAATGATTGTAACGGCATATATATTGGCCAGACAATACAAGAACTAAGAAAAAGAGTTTCTGCTCATAAACATTCACAACTACGCAAAAAGACCAACACAGCGTTATGTAAACACTCTACGAATTTAAAACATACATTTTGCTTCGACCAAAACAGCGTTAAAATCTTAGATGTCGAAGGTTCTTATAGAAACAGAAACTTTTTAGAAATGTATTACATCGCAAAGGACTCAAATTCCGTAAATTTCCGAACTGATATTGACAATCTATCAATAATGTATTTTGATATTATTGGAACATGTGATAGAATTTCGAACACTAAAGGACAATAATTCCGGTGCATACCTATACATCTATGAAATAACCTTCATATTATTTGAAGGAATTTCTGTCACTGTGAATCAATCTTTATATATTTTTTCTTCTACAGTTTGTGTTGTGTCATAGACTTTACTATTGTATATTTTATGTTTTTTGAAATTGTATCACTGTCCTTTGTAATGATGAGCACATGTGTTATTTATTTTGTTTATTATTTTTATGTTTATTTATCAATTTGGAATGTTCTGTTGGATTTTTATTTATTATAAAATGAAGGAAGTCTCGATGGATCTTGTTCAAACAAGAATCCAGTAAATCCGAACAAATTTTATTCCATTTTTTGATAGGTCTCGACTTTGAGGTTATGTTGGCCTTTAAAAACTTTTCGAATTTAAATTTTTTAAAAGTTTTATAAATTTGTATCATTGAACAATGTGGTAGGTCTATTCCACACACAATGTTGCTATTGATTTCATATTTTCTATTTACTCAACTTTTTTATATTTTTTCTGTAGTCCTGATGAGCTGTGTTCACAGTGAAAATGCATTCGATGAAATAAAGTAATAATTGCTGATTTTTAACAACTTTCTCAAATCTTTTGGACCCAAGGCCACAATATAAACAATTTTATTTGACAAAAATTAAGGTCCTGAAAACACTCTACGTTTTAAAATTAATAGAAATTGTGTACTTACATACAATTAAAAAAAAAATTTAAACAGTTGAAATTAAACGTTAACTAAAATTATAAAAACCATAAACATTGCCAATAAAATAAAAAAAGGTTATTTATCTAGAAATAAAACAAATGTTTCATTTGATGAAATACAATGAAATTAAATTTAAAAAGGAAACACTTTTTTCTACGCTGCATACGTCTAAAAAGTTAAAAAATTTTAAAGCTAAAAAATGTATTAAATACAAACAAACAATGAACAAATCAACGCCAAAATTTTCTACCGCTGTAAACTAACTCAAATAAAAGCAAACTAAGACACTTAAAAATCTTCCTAAAACAAAAAAAAGAGGAAACGAGTTTTTTTAAACAAAAAGTTTGCCTTTATTTAAAAGAATCATTTCCAATGTTAACATAAAACAACGAAAATATTTATATTGTAAAAAAAAGGCTGCCAAGGGACGTCAGCCTAATAAAAGGGGGGCAGTAACAACAATTTTGTTCTCATGTCCTATGCATAAAAATTTTTCTCTGATTTTAATATTAAAAAAACAATCAATTAAATAAGCATCCACATGTTTATTTTTTTGCATTTAATAAAATTAGCAAACTACAAAAAGCACTAACAGAATTCATCAATTATTAAAAATCACTGATATCAGAGAAAGATTTTTTTTTAATAAAATACTTATCTTACAGAAATCTATGTAAAAATTATATCAAGGATATATTATTTGTAAAACTCGAAAGAGTTAAATACCTCTACAACAAAGAAAGATACATCAGAACCACGACACAACCACACGCAGATTTTCTTAGCAGCTGACAAGGGACGTCAGCCTAATAAAAGGGGGGCAGTTGTTACGTATGACTTCGTAACCTTTATATATTTACATAGAAACTACGAATTTTAATTGAATTATATAGAATCCATTTAATAATTTTGACTTGTAACCTAAAAACACAATTATCGTTCTTACACAAAAATACATATTTATTGGCAACACCAATAAATTACAACATGAAGCAAAATTCTTAACAACCCACTTTTAATCGGGTAATTAGCACAATTAAATTAAGCAAAGCACATTTTTCTTTTTATGTTAATATCGCAAGGCAAGGTTTCTTTCAATTATTTGTAAATTATTGCACAACAACGAAGTGGTCAAAATCTAAATTTTGCAAGTACCAAATTCTGCAAGCTGTCAGAATAAACTGCATTGAGGATTTCCCCACCTAATTGCCAATCAATAAAAAGAATTGACAAGGAGAAATCTGGGCAGTTGCCCGCGTAAACTTGGCGAAACTAAGTTGGGCAGTTTAATTCAGGCAAAGTACCTGAACGTTATATATATTGTGAGTCATAAAGACTAAAGAATTTTTATCCTTTTTGTGAATTAAAGGGCGTAGTCCCCATTTATTGTAAAATAGAAATATTGAATTCAGATTAAGTCCACTTTAAAGAATATCAAGTTTGAGACTAAATACAAGTAAGAGAAAAGGAAGATTGCTGCGATATAAATACAAATAAAAGAAGCAAACATAACGATTAAAAGTGAGTAAATAATTTCACATTACACTCATATACACAAATCAATTTTCAAACAAATACGTAAATTTTCATAAGTTGATTTCATGAGATTTTACTAAAAAGAATATTCACATTCTTTTTTTTATTATAATTTATATTTTCATCCCAGAACATTTATATATTGGAAAATTAAAGGTTTATAAAATATATGTAAATTTGATAATTAAATAAATATTAATTTAACCAATAATTTCTATTCTTATTAATTGTAACTACACAATTGATATCAATAATTGTGAGAGAGGAAAAGTCCCCTACCTATTCAAATTTATTTAATTTGCTGAAGAGCATTTTTCGTTATCACGACAGATTTAAATTGATAATAAAATAATTTATCTGTTTAACTTTTATTAAATTAAATCCTATTCGTAACAGAGAGTAAAAATAATACGTCAAAATTAGGTCAAAATGATAGGTGTAAGAGCAAACACAATTTTAAAACTACCTTACATTGTTAGGTCAGATGGCAAACTTCACCTCATCATTAAGTCTGCGCGCGGAAATTGTTTGACAAATTTTGTCGTCTAGGTCAAAACTGCCCTCAAACTTGACCTAAATTTTGAGGATAGCGGGAATTCTTTGTCAAATTTTGACGTCTAGGTCAAAACTGCCCTCAAACTTGACCTAAATTTTGAGGATAGCGGGAATTCTTTGTTAAATTTTGACGTCTAGGTCAAAACTGCCCTCAAAATTGACCTAAATTTTGAGGAAAGCGGGAATTCTTTGTTAAATTTTGACGTCTAGGTCAAAACTGCCCTCAAACTTGACCTAAATTTTGAGGGTAGCGGGAATTCTTTGTCAAATTTTGATGCGTAGGTCACAACTGCCCTCAAAATTGACCTAAATTTTGGCCTACCTTAACAGTGGGCCAACCTTGACTATGTTCCCTTTCTAAGAGGCCTTTAGAAATGACTGAATCAGCGGCGGCGGCGAAATGATTTTATATTATAGGGATATATATATATATATATATATATATATATTAATATTATAATATAATAATATAATAAAATTATTAATTATTGTTATTTTCATAACCTTTTTAAATCACGATTTTTTTTAAATACAAAAGTCAGAAAATTAACAAATATACCATTCGAAAGATTATTTAATTCTACGATTAATGATACATAACTGAAAATTTTAATAATTTATACAAAGACTGCAGCAATTGACAAATTTGACAAAAAAATTTAAAAAATAATTTTTTTTTGGAAATTTTTTCAACCCTTGCACATTTTTTAAAAATTGAGGCTCCGGATCTTAAAAGGGCACACGCGCGAACACACGGCAAATAAGTTGGCCCCTGGAGATAAAATTTTGAAGTTGTTCAAAATGAATTTTAAATTATTGTTTCTTGTACAGAATTTCAAGGCGAAACTTTTTTTTTAATAAAAATTTTTTATATAATTTCTCGTTTTCACGTAAATTGAAAAAAACGTGATTTTTTGAGTTAAGAAATTTTAATGAATTTTTGACTTCAACTCGTGACTACTTCGTTAAATATTAATATTTTTCCACAAAATTTACACACAATATTCTTCAAACTATTCCAAGAGTGAAACAATATTTGGAAATTTAAAAAAAAATTGTATGTCAAAGTAAATAATTATTTAAATAATTTTGTCGGAAAAATGATTCTCCTATTTTCAATTGAAAAAGTTGAGTGACGAATTTTCGTTTTCGGAAAACTTTCAGCGACAAAAATGTTCATTAATATGTTAGGAAGTTTTTTGGAAAATATCTCGCTATTTGATAATAAATTAAAGACAATAGAGCAATTTTAACATCGTCGCGCTCTGCTGTAAACGTAAACAATGTCTAACTATATATACATTGGTCTTGTAATGGCGGCCATGCTACACGTGTGCCGCCACGCCGCAATTTTACAGCAGAGCGCGACGATGTTAAAATTGCTCTATTGTCTTTAATTTATTATCAAATGGCAAGATATTTTCCAAAAAACTTCCTAACATATTAATGAACATTTTTGTCGCTGAAAGTTTTCCGAAAACGAAAATTCGTCACTCAACTTTTTCAATTGAAAATAGGAGAATCATTTTTCCGACAAAATTATTTAAATAATTATTTATTTAATTAATTATTATATTATAATTATTTAATTATTATAATTATTTAATTTATAATTATTTACAATTTTTTTTTAAATATCCAAATATTGTTTCACTCTTGGAATAGTTTGAAGAATATTGTGTGTAAATTTTGTGGAAAAATATTAATATTTAACGAAGTAGTCACTAGTTGAAGTCAAAAATTCATTAAAATTTCTTAACTTAAAAAATCACGTTTTTTTCAATTTACGTGAAAACGAGAAATTATATAAAAAATTTTTATTAGAAAAAAAGTTTCGCCTTGAAATTCTGTATAAGAAACAATAATTTAAAATTCATTTTGAACAACTTCAAAATTTTATCTCCAGGGGCCAAATTATTTGCCGTGTGTTCGCGCGTGTGCCCTTTTAAGATCCGAAGCCTCAATTGTAGAAGAAATTTGAAACTTACATAAGTGTGATCATTCATGTCTCATCTTTAATTCAAGACCAAAAGAGTTCAAAAATCTTATTCGGTTCGTGAGATATCATTATAAACGTCCGAGCATGTTTTTTGACAAATGCAGTGAATTAGTCGATTTTGAACGGTTTTTGGATGAAAATATTCGGTCGTTTATAATGATATCTCGCTAACCGATTAAGATTTTTTAAATCTTTTGGTCTTAAATTAAAGATGGGACTTGAATGATCACACCTATATAAGTTTCAAATTTTTTCTATAATTTTTAAAAAATGTGCAAGGGTTGAAAAAATTTTCAAAAAAATTTTATTTTTAAAATTTTTTTGTCAAATTTGTGGATTGCTGCAATCTATGTATAAATTATTAAACTTTTCAGTTATATATCATTAATCGTAGAATTTAATAATCTTTCGAATGGTATATTTGTTAATTTTTTGACATTTGTATTTACAAGAAAATTGTGATTTAAAGATTGGTATGATTTTGGGCCGTGCGTGTGCAGCTGTACCGATAATTCCCGACGGTAGTATATATATATAAATTAATTACTTATTTTTATTTACTTCATTTTATTAATTTGTATTATATATTTTATTAATTTTTCTTTAATTTAATTTAAAGAAAAATAGACAAATATTCGACTGTTATCATTTGTTTAAGTTTACATCAGCTATTAAAGGACGTTTTTATTTTTTCATTAAAATTATTTAAAATTTCATTAAATAACTCTTCATCACTTTCACTACTACTGTCACAACATTCCATTAAATACGTGATCATTTTCATGTTTCCCGCCATTTCAGACATAACGAATATGTGCTCTGTCAAAAATAATGGAGTAAATTCAGTTACTCCGTTTAAGGCCTAAGCACAACTGGTTCGGTTTCGGGAGACGGTTTCGGGATATGTAAGATTTACATATATTTTGAGGTTAGGAAGCCCATATCCCGAAACCGTCTCCCGAAACCGAACCAGTTGTGCTTAGGCCTTTACTCGTCAAAGAGTAGAGTGGGGAAACCGAACAAAACGCCCTTACTATGCTCCGGAGCAGTTCACAAATCGAATACTCCAAACGCTTCGCGCCGGTGCAGATTTGTCAAACCGAACATGCAAATCCTTCTTGGAGTAGCCTTGGAGCACTCTAGAGCAGATAACCGAATTCGCTATAAGAGACGTTAGGCTGCGGTTACACCTCTGCAGGCAGGAGCAACGAGAGTGAGGGAGAAGTTTGAAGTCACTGACTCTCTTACTCTTGTACGTTACCATGACAACCTGCAGGCAGGCAGGCTGCCTGCAAAGGTGTAACCGCAGCCTTAGACAGAATAGAAAGAGGTGTGAGTCGGTCGGTTGGTCGTTCTTTAACTTAATATAATATAGAGAGTGTTTTGGCTATCTGCTTTGCAAAAAGCCATTAAATCAACAAAAAAATAATATAATATAGAGGATTTTAATTCTATTCTACACGTACATAATAATAAAAAACAATTATTAATCAAACTTACCAAAATTAAGATCGCCCATTGACTTCAGCCAAGAAATATTGCTAGGATAGAGTTTAAGGGCCTGAGTAAGTAATTGAAAAAGAATTTCTCCAATGTTCCTAATATTATACGAGTTCGAACTGAAAACAAACGTGTGAGATTTTAAAAGTGAGACGGAAATAATAAGTAAAATTACTAATTAAGTAAGTTATTAAATACGTAAGTATAGGGTTTGAAAAATTCAGATTTTCAAAGATTTTAATTTGAAAATTCTACGAGAATTCAATTATTTAAATACAAAAATAAATAATTTATTAAATAATTGAATGTTTCTTAAAATTGACTTCTCGTAAAGAATTTTTTCAACAAATTTTTAAATAATTAAATATTTTGGACGAATTTTATTAAAGTTTTTAAGAATAATTACATTTTTCAAGAAATTTAATTGAAATTGTATTAAAAATAATTGAAATTCTGCGAAGAATTTTATTAATTATAAAAATAATTGAATTCCTAACAAAATTTTATTATTTATGAGTAATTGAATTTAAATTAAAATCTTTTCGAAATTCAATTTAATATTATCTAAATCAATTTTTACTGAAAAAATCCAATAGAGAATTCAATTATTTAAACAAAAAAATAATTTATTAAATAATTGAATGTTTATTAAAATTGAATTCTCATAAAGAATTTTATAAACCAATTTTTAAATAATAGAATTCTTTTGACAAATTTTAATACAATTTTTAATAATAATTACATTTTACGAGAAATGTTATTAACATTATATTAAAAATAATTGATTTCTTTAGGAAAATTTTATTGAAATAATAGATTTTAAAAATCATTGAATTCAGATAAAATTTTGAAAATATATGAAATTTTGCCAAGAATTTTATTAAAATTTTTGAAAATAATTGAATTATGTAGAAGAATTTATTTTATATTATTTATAAAAATATTTGAAATTTTGACGGGAATTTAAAAAAATTTTTGAACATAATTGAATTTCTGCAATCATTTGTATCTTCTCCATAATTCAATTTTTTTTATTGTTATTTAAAAAGAAATTATTGTCAGAAATAGAAAATATTGAAGGTTTTGTATTATAGAATTCGTGGTAATTTCATAATTTACAAGACAAACAAAAAAGACACAAAAATTCAAAATTTTCTTATGAGTTCTAAAAATTTAATTTTTTCCAGTAATTTTAATAAAAATGCCTGAGTTTTCCCTGACCTGTGTCAACCCTGATTAAATAAGTTGTTGTTTATTTTAGTTCTTAATTGTTTTTGTAAACTCACTTTGCAACACTCGCAGGCCAAAGAGTTAAATATTGAGTGTTAAGTTCCAAACTTGATTCATCGCGCAAAACATTGTGAAGCCGGGCGAGAAGTGAAATCATCACCGAGAGAGCTGTGGGTTCACGTAGTCTACTCAAAGTCGACGATATTCCTGTCATTGAATCTCGAGAAGAATTTCCACTGCCAGAACTTCCTGCACTTCGTTTTTGTGGAGGATCTCTGTTTGGCGCGAAAGCTGCCAAAACTATTTTTTAACAAAAAAAAAATCCCAAAAATTAAATAAACATATTTTATTTAATTAAATCTCGAGTTATTTAAGTTTGCCTATCCCTGTAGTTCGTTGACTACATACAAAACAGAAATTTTGTATTCAAATATTAAAATAGAAAAAGGTCTCAATTCAGATTCTATTTTTTTAAATATAAATATCAAACAAAAATAAAATTGGTACATTTTAGAAATTTTGAATGGTAAAAAGTAAATTTGAAAAAATAAATGAGCGTAAAAATTGAAAAATATTTTACCCATATCCCAAGCTTCTCGAGAAAATTTTCTGCCACCTTTGTACTTGACAACATCTTGACAAACAGAACTAATTGCCGCCGCGAATTCCGTGTAACTCCATCTTTTTTCAAGAGTCGTCAAATAATCCCATTCTGTCATATTTAAAAGAAAAATTGTCGAAAATTCTATCACTTCCTGTCGAGGGAGAACTTTATCAGTTGATTGTAAAGCAGCCAAGCACAATTTCGCCCTTTCCACCAAAGCATGTACATCGCCTGAAAAAATACCAATCAAACTTCACTTCTTTCATTTGATTAATTAAAGAAATACAATATTGTAAGGAATGAAGAATACTCACAAATATTAGTACCGGGCCAACAATGTAAACAATGCCAAATTTCGACGAGTAAAATTTCCCAACTGATTAATCGACAGAGTTTAAATGTAAGATTTCCCGTGTGATGTTGAACTTCAGCAGCAAGAACATTTAGCAATTCTTTCGATCTCTCGAAATCCTTTCCCAATGCCAATTCACGACTCTTGCCTAATAGAATGTAGGAATAATCCTGAAGAAATCCCCTTGGCAGGGACATGACAACACTTTGCAAAGGAATTGGCAATTCCCAGCAACCGTTCACTTTCCATAAAGGTTTGGTTGAATTTGTACCGTCGAGTCTAATTAGGGTTTCATGAATTTCTATCGGATTGTAAGACAAAATGAGACGTTGCTCGAGTTCAAAAATTTCCACTTTCAGAGTTCCTGCAAAAATAAAAATTTTATAGAAATATTTCATTTTTTTAATCTATTATTCAATATTATTCAATATCATTGTGAACGAAGAAATACAATGTAGAAAAGAAAACATTAAAATAAAATCTTAGAATAATTGCAGTATAATAAAATACTGACTTGTATAAGTGATACAAGGAACACCCCAGTCGTTAGTCAATAACATGGTCGGAATTTCGAGATCATTGAAGGATGCTTCCTTCTTTATTTCACCGAGTTCTCTTTCATTGAATAAATTCACGTATTTCGGACTGTGAAGAATTTTATTTGCTAGACCCTCAACCTCAGCTGTCAAATTAAGGTACAAAAGATATTGGGCAATTCGTTTTCTATCGCTTTCAGAGACACAATCCAAAACATTATCAATCGCCTAAAATGCAAATAAGAATTAATAAACAATTCACTATTCATATAAAAGATTATAATAATTTATCTTCATTCTTCTTAGTTGAAGAACTAGGGAGGAAAATAGAGAATATTTTCTTACAGAGAAGAAAACATCAAGTCCTCGTACTCCAGCGGCTTTTATTTCCGACACATAGTCACCAACAATTACTTTATTTTCCAGTATTTTTCTAACAAGGTTGAGACATTGGATTTGCAATGGAAGATCACGGGCCACAATTATTTTCCTGTTAGTCAATCCGCCCTGAATATCCAGTTCTAAATTGTCTCTGTAAACTTGAGGAATTTCTCGCACTATATTGTCGTTCTGAAGGATTTGTATAATATTCTATAAGAAATTATTGTCAATTAGTTTTCAAATATATTTTAAATAATAGTAACTTACATAATAATTACATATAACTATTTAATATATGTGATTAATGGTTATCAATCAATCCAAGTCCAGAAAAATAATAATTTTATTATAACTATTATTTTATTTTTTATTGCTAACTTCTTCCACCTTTTAATAATAATTATTATTATTGTTCAGGGTTGACACAAAAATTTTATTTTATTTTCTTCTGACTTTTCCTTGAATTTCCAGACAAAATTTTGACTACTTGCCTGACCCTAAAGAATATTTTGATTCACTCTAAACAAGTTGTAAATCCAGATGTTCATTACATGAACATTTTGCTTCCTCTTTACGGTCAGGAAAAAAAATTTGCTTCCTCGTAGAGGAAACATTAACGATAAGTATATTTCATTTTTAAATCAATTTAGGGGAGTTTGCTGCGAGTTGGACATAGTTTTGTTTTTCGGTTATAACTTTTCACTAAATTGAGATATCGACATGTTTAAAGTCTTGTTTAAAAGCCAGAGAGCTTTAAGGCGCTAGCACAGCTCCTGCTGCCTGCCTGCCTGCCTGCAGGTTGACATGGTAACACATAAGAGTAAGAGAGTCAGAAAATTCAAATTAAATGTTTTTTCTCTCTCACTCTTATGGCGCCTGCCTGTGCAGGCAGGCAGGCAGGCAGTGAGAGTGTACCTTTATACTATACTTCTGTAAAGGCGTCAATTTAATTTTTGAAAAAACTTTCAAAATGTAGCCAATTTTCTAATAAGATGATTTTTGGACTTTTTTTTCTTTGCTGCAAGTTGGACACCCTCACAAAATCCACTCAAAAAGCATAAAAATTAAATAAATTATCTATTAATAAAAAGTGTATGCAAAATTTTGTATTTTATAAAATATATTGTATTTTACACATTATAAACTATAAATTTCGAATCAAATATTTTGCAATGTTTACAAACATAAAATAGGTTAAACTTGAAAACAAAAGAAATCTCCAGCATATAAATTATGACCAACTCGCAGCTAAAAGGTGTGTCCAACTCGCAGAATTTACAGGATTTTTTTAGACCGCAAAAAATAGTTTTGCCAACAATATATGGAGCTAATTCTTTTTGCATCTTAAAGAGCATGAAAATTAGGGGAGAGTAGGCTACATTGGACCGGGTTTTTTATAAAGTCCAAGAACTAATTAAATTTTACAAATTTTGATCAGGTTTTTGTATGAAAATAAAACTAAAGTACTCCTTTAGTTAACACACACGTTACAAACACAAATTATTATGATTAAATAATAAAATTTAATTTTTTTCTAACCAGTTACACTTTTCTTATTTTGAAGAATGTGTGTCTACATTGAACCACCTCTAATAAAACACTACAATTTACTTCGAAAATAATATTTTTACTTACACATTGTAAAAAATCTTATTTTCTACTCAAAAAAATAGAAAATTGTTGTTAAGTAGTTATTATTTGTTAATATAGGAGATTAATATATTTCGATGTCAGGTTAGGTAGCAAAAGTGACAGTTTAAGTTTATCTCGTTGACAATTGTGATGAAAGCATGTCTTCCAGTATTTTTCTTACTAATAAATTAGTAGAGCAGATAACTTTACCACTCTTAAAATTGAAAATTCTTTGCTTTTTCGGGTGGTTCAATGATGCCGCACTCACTGTATTCACATGACATTCACAACAAAAATTGTTTATAATAAATTTGTGTAAGATTTAAAGTTCTTTATCACATCGGAATATTGAAGTTGACACCCTAAGCGAAATAAATCACAAGTTTACTAATTTTTAAAACTTCCTATTTTAATAAAAAAACGTCATTATAAATTCCACCAAATTTTTTGTTTTGTACGTGAAAAACAGTTTTTTTTAGTTATTCTTTGTAAGTAATAAACCTACGTGTCGGAAATTTTTGGACATAGTCTGTATCGGTAATACTAACTTATATAATGAATAAGAAAAAATTTCACTCAGTCATTTCTCAGAAAATTGAAGTGGTTCACTGTTGACGCTGGTTCAATGTAGCCTACTCTCCCCTACTCCAAAAATACATGTACGAAATTTTTTTGAACAATGAATAGTAGTCTTTTTATTAACACTTAAAAGACGTCGTTTCCACTTTTCAAAAAAATTCTTACACTAAAAAAATGTTTTTTTTTTATAAGAATCTTAAATAATGCAAGTATTTTTTTCAAAACAAATATAAATATATCTTATCAATAAAGCAAACATTTTACAATTTTAATTCTGGGATAAACTTTACGCATTCTCGAAATATCAAGGGGTGTCCAACTCGCAGTAGTGACCAACTCGCAGCAAACTCCCCTAACATTTATAAAATAAAGTTTAGTCGTCTTAATAGAAAGAATAAAATTTTCTTATACAGTAATAATATGAATGTAAATAAACAAAAAAATTTTAGTAAAAAAGTGAATTTTTTCAACTTTAATTGTAATTAAGGTAGTACGCTCGTGATCGCACTTTTCTATAGAATTTCATGAAATTTGAAATCAGAATAGTTAATAACAAGATCTATGTATTTGCAAAATATTAAAAAAATTGACCGTTTCTAAAACAAGATATTTAAGTTAAAAGTTTGTTATTTAACATGGTTAACCTATGAAAAGTGCATGTAAACGGCACATTTCTTCTAATAACTTCTAAAATTTTCTATAGATTGTTTTAAAAAACTAATATATTATAAATGAATGTTTGAGAAATTTATAACAAAAAGATTTAACAATATTAACCGGTTCAGTTAAAAGATATAATATAATATAATATTCTAATCTGACTAGTATACTTGTGTGTGAGTGTGTTTGTACATAGGGCTGACTATGTATTCAGTACAGTCCAAGCAAAAATATGCTGCAGTAACTGCACCATATAGCATTTTATTAAAATTTAAGGTACCGTCCCATGACGGCGTAAAAGCGTCGGCGTAAAGCAGAAATCATGCGATAGAAAGAGATGAACAGATATCACGTTCTCACTCACTCACATGGTTTACGCTTTACGCCGACGCTTTCACGCCATCATGGGACGGTACCTTTACTTTTGAGAGTGACTGTCGCGAGCGTACTACCTTAATTCTATAATTTTTAATATAATATATATACTTTATATCCATCAATCGATTCGTCTTGATGCGAAGAATAAGAATTTATTATATATTAATTTCAATGACCAACTAAAAAAAAATTTTTTTTTGAAGATTTTTCAAAGTTTATCAATCCATTTCGAGATATTGTAATGATAAATATACCTGGCAAATTTTAGCCAAATTCGTTAAAACCTCTTCGAGTTATCGTGTTCACAAAAATCCTCCACGAGGAAGCAAAAAATTAATTCCTAAGAACACAGGCACACAAAAAAATAAAAAAGTCAAAACCCAGAGGTTACACCCCCCTTTCCCCATGTTTTTGGGGTCGCTGAAACCGAATATGACCATGAAAATTTTTTTTCATCGGCCATTTTCTCGCTACCACCCCCTTACACCTGCTCCCGGGGGTTGGAATTTCAGTTTTAAAAAAAGTGGAGTAGGGTGTCTATTCCTATGTTTTTTGGGTCGCTAAAACCAAAAAAGACTACCAAAAACAAATTCTTCCTTCCATTAACCCCCTACAACCCCCTTAACACCCGAAAGGTGGGTGGTCGAAATTCGAATTTTCACGAAAAGTCGATTACGATGTCTAAACCTACGTTTTTTGGGTCGCTGAAACCAAAAAAGATTCCCTAAATCAAATCCTTTCCACCCCGATCCCCTACAACCCCCTGTAATAATTTTTTTCAAATAAAACGAACCGATTTTTGGGAGATTGAAAATTAAATATTAATTATCAAAAATTATTGCAGGAGGTTGTAGGATGTTGAGGGTGGAAAGGATTTGATTTTGGTAGTCTTTTTTGGTTTCAGCGACCCAAAAAACGTAGGTTTAGACACCGTAATCGACTTTTCGTGAAAATTCGAATTTCGACCCCCCACCTTTCGGGTGTTAAGGGGGTTGTAGGGGATTAAGGGAGGGAAGAATTTGTTTTTGGTAGTCTTTTTTGGTTTTAGCGACCCAAAAAACATAGGAATAGACACCCTACTCCACTTTTTTTTAAACTGAAATTCCAACCCCCGGGAGCAGGTGTAAGGGGGTGGTAGCGGGAAAATGGCCGATGAAAAAAAATTTTCATGGTCTTATTCGGTTTCAGCGACCCCAAAAACATGGGGATAGGGGGGTGTGACCTCTTGGTTTTGACTTTTTTATTTTTTTGTGTGCCTGTGGAATTGTTAGTTAAAAGTATGTGTTTAGAACAATTGTACGTTTAATAAATCAGGAAATTAAAACTCACACATTTCACAAGAAAATTAATAGTTTATTTAATTATTCACTGATTTTCGTTGATAGGAACAATTTTGTGTTGAAAAATGTTTAGCGACAAGTGAGAATAATTATTATAGAAAAATGATCAAATAAGTAAGCAAATGTTTTAGAAAGAATATTGTGAAAATTGAGAACTCCACTCTGGAAGGTTCGTAAGAGAGCCTTGCAAGCGGCGGTTGCACTCAGAGTTGCCTGCAAGGGTGAAAATGATTCTGGTCTTACGAACGCGGTTTAACTATCCAGAGTGAAAGGCATTGTTTTATATCAAAAGTGAAAAAAGCTCGTTAATAGTAACTCTTAAATTAGATATTGAGAAAATGTAGCTGCACTTTAATTGCTCTTAGAAATGAAAGATAAAGTTGTTACGGAAAGGGACGCTACCGATTTTCCGTACAAAATCTTAGAAAACGACTTTTCGATAAGAAAGGCGGAAAAAGACTGATTCAATGGAAAGCGTCCTTTTCTCAAGAGACGCCAAAAAGGTTGCAAAAAAAAGGGGGGAAAGGAAAAGAGTATGTACATTTCAAAAAATGTTAAGATCAATGTTTCCTAAAAAGGTTCCTTAACTTGCTTATAAGTCCAGATGTGGTTACCTAGGAC